ATTAAAAGACATTAATGCAGCCTAATAGGATAAGTGTTTAAAATGTATGGAAGCCATTGTTCAAATTTTAGCAACATCCAAATACACATAGGTACATAATTAAAAATTTATCTCCTTTCAGTATTGATGTCATATTACTAGCCAAAAATCAATCACAAATTGATAATACATCCTTATTTTCACACAAACTAAACTCATCACATTTGTTATTTGAGTGCTTATGAGCATCATATATTCAGAAATCTTCTGTTTCTTTTCATAATAAAACAGGTTTAGGTGATTATAAACATTCTTTAGAGTTAACCAGAAATCTATTTTAGGAAGAAAAAATCGTTTTAAACATTAAAGAAATTCTTTAAAATCCCAAATTCCCATCTTGCTCACTGGCTTTCCCTCTGTCAAAAGGATTTGTTCTGTAAAATCTGGATTCAGTCAAAAGGCCACACTCAAGGATCCAGAAGGCCACATGTGGCCCTAAGGCCACAGGTTCCCCACTCAACAAAGCCTGGCACAGAGTAAGCCCCATATCAGTACAAGATGCTATCATTCCCATGAATATAAGAATATGAATTCAATTCCCATAAATTTGAAGACCACCTGTTCTCTGACAACTCCCTACTTTGTCTCCACTTAGACCTTTTCTCTCATGTCCCATCATCAACTTGACATTTCTACTTGGACATCTCACAAATGTCTCAAAGGTAACATGTCTAAGATAGAATTCTTGATCTTTTCCTTCAAGCCTGTCCCCTCTTCCACACCTCCCATTCCTCATCTCAGTGAATGCCACCATTATTTACCCAATTACAGCGGCCAAAAACCTAGAAATTACTCACAACTCTTCTCTTTCTGTTACTCCAAGCCCAATTCATCAGTAAGTCTTACCATTTCTATCTCCAAACTATATCTCAAATCCACCCCCTTCATCCAGGCCAACAACTCTCTTGCTAGGTACCTGTAAGAGTCTCCTCACTGGTTTCTCTGCTTCTGTCCTTGCACTGTCAGAAACCATTTTTCTGAGAGCAGATTTCTCAAAGTAAAAAATTTAATCTGACACGCTCCTGTTCAACACTCCTCAATGGCTTCTCACTGCAGTAGGAATAAAATCCAAGCTCCCTATCAAGATCTGGTCTGTGTCCCTCTCATTTTGATACACCACCACCCTCTCTTCTTTCAACATGCTAAGCTCCATTCTACCTTAGCACATGCTATTCATTGGTATACTCTCCCTTCCTCTGTGCAGCCAACATCTTTTCTCAACTTTAAGGCTATCTCCCCAGACCTCCTTCCTGACCCTATTTAAAGTGGGTATTTCCTATTTGTTTTTTTCTATCTCAGCAGCTTCTTTCCTCCAATGCACTTACTACAATGTGCTATTATTTTCATTTATTTGCTCCCCCCACCAAGAATGTAAGTTCTCATGAAGGTAGGGGGTACAGAGTCTCATTTTCCATTTTATCCCTAATAACACCTGTCACAGGAGGCATTCAATAATTGGTGAATATGAATGAGCCTACTGTCCAGTTTTTCATATATTTTTCTCATTTACTCTTTTGCATAACCAAAACATTTATTATCCCCATTTTAAAGATGAGGCAACTCAGAGTGAGAAATATTAAGGGAGTATAGAACGAGCTGATGAGTGCAGAAACAGGATTCACATGCAGGTCGGTACTGAAATGCCTATGCTGCTTCCACCATGCCACAGTGCTCCACCCATCCCAGTTCCCAATACCTGGGCTCAACTTTCTGCTTCCACCCAGTTTTCTACCCCTCACCTAAGAAGTCACAAGTCCTTCCTACCATACGGGCTTTAAGGCTCTCCCAAGTTGTGGATAATAAGACCAGTGGCCCTACACGTTGCAATTTTGCCTCCCAGGGTACACTGCCCAATATCTGGAGACATTTTGGTTGTTACTACTGGGGAGGTACTACTGGTATCTAGTAGGTAGAGGTCAGGGATGCTGCTAAACATCCTTCAATGCACACGATAGCCCCTGCCACAAAAAATTATCTGGCCCAAAATATCATCATGCTGAGGTTGTGAAGACCTGCCAATACAGAACCAGGTTAGAGCAGGAGTGCAGGGGCCACTGACCGTGGGAACCAGGCAGGTGATATAAATGAGTCAAACAGGACTAATGTTATTTTATCATCTATCTTTTCCATACTCAGGTTACCTTATTTTATTGTTTGGAAATGGCATCTTATGCTATAACCTTTCACCACAAACATGCTTTGTTGCATGTTTAATATGTATATTTTTCATTTCCACAAAGGAAATGAAAAATTTTCTCTTGAAACAGAGAGCCTCCTCCAGCTATCCTTTTGTCTTCCATCTTTTAATAAGCGACATGGATACAAAAAATGTTCACTCTTAACTCAAAGTACCTGCCACATCTGATGATAAATATGACAGCTCTAGCTTGGGGGAAACAACAGAGACTAGGGGAAACTGTGGTAAAATGGACTGTCCATGTCCCCATTTAAAAGGGGGCTGGGATTTACAGTTCCAGAAAATTGCTGCCATATAGGAACATCAGCTCAGTGATGCTAGACAGTCTGTTTCTAAAGGGGGGCAGGACATTAAACTGTAAAAACTGATGCTTCCCTCCACCACCACCACTACTGCCACCACCATTCCCATCCCACGTTCAGATTTAATTTGGTTTGATGTGAGGCCTGGATACCAGAATGTTTTAAAGATTTCAAGTGACTTTTGTATACAACTAAGATTGTGAAGCACTGGTTTAGTCCAAGTCTCCATTTTACATGTGCACAAACTGAGGCTCAGAAAGCTAAATGCTTTGCTCAGGCACCCAACTAGTTTGAAACAAGTATAGCATCAGAACACAGTTCTTGTAAAGCAGTGTTTTCATAACACTGGATTAAAATGTTATGGGTCAGAACACTGGATCATGAAATCAACTTAATTGTTTATAAAGAACAATTGTTTTTAAAGGCTAGAATAGAAAATCAGAGCATACTGCACATTACAAGGGGTAAATATTGTTACATGAACCTTTTGTTTTTATATACATGCATATGTACCAGTTAGTCTCCATTTAACTCTCCAAATCCATTCTTTTCCCTTCTCCACCTTGTTCCCAGTCCCAGGAGACTGACCCTACAGAGAGGTCCACCTGCTCCACTTGCCTAAGGGTTTCTAGTAGGTTCAGCCAGTGAGAAGCACTAAAAGGAGCCCAGAGGGTGGGAGGAGAGTGTTCTTTCGGGTCACACTTCCTGGGTGACCTTGCTCCCACAGCATAGCTCTGGTGTATCTTTACCTCCTGATAAAGCTCCCCTTCAGGCCCAGAGGTGGTAGCACCTTCCCATTGTTGACAGTCCTTGGGTGATGATTTATTATCCTTTGTGGGTTCCTTAAACCTACTCGTGCTTCTGAAAACAGTCCATTTATTAAATCTGTTTCCTGGCAGAATACTGACATACATAAATAGATCAACAGACACACAGACACATGTATATATGCACTGAATTGCATTTTCAGTATTGTGAGCAGGTTTAATGTAAAATGTATTGTTTATAATGTGGGCTGTGACCAAAAAAGTTTAAGAAACATTGTCAAGGTTCTTACTACACTGCTGCCTCCTCTGGCTGATATAGGGAGCTACTGGGTTGAAACTTCTAAAAATAAGCATTTCAAGAACCCCTCTTTGCAAATGTTAACATTAAATTAAGTAAATAATGTCCAAAAAGAAGAAAACATATAAATTAAAGGAGATCTTTTTTAACAATGCTTAACACTGCCCAACAAAGGAAAGGGCCACCGTGGTAGGCAGCAAGTTCCTTAGAGCTTAGCACATGAAGAGAGCCCTGGTTAAAAATGTGCATTGCCATAACATCACGGAGCTTCAAGTTAAAAAATTTCTTCCTAAATAGAAATGAATCCATTTTTGTCTAGCTTAATATTTAATTGTTGTCGTACTTGATCTTTTTTTTTTTTTTTTTTGGTCAGTTACAAATTAACTCTTGATGAACGAAAGATTATGCAATTCCACTCAATGTGGAAACCAAAGAGCTATTTTAAAGTCCCACACTAAAGTACTGTACTGTGTCAGCTCAACACTCATTCTGTGAAGGAGAAGAGGAAGAAATGAGGCAGCTTTCAAAAATGTTTAAACTCTGTTCCTATCTGCAGGATCTGAGTGGCTTTTTGATACTTTGGCAGGGTATGATCATGGAGAAGAAACAGGTCTGATAGTTAACTATGAGAGTACAGAGACAGAGAAAGAATCAGACACCCAGGTCCAATCATTCAGCAGAACCATCTCTCAAGGTGTGGCCTCATGTAGATGGTTAACAAGGACAGAAAGTCTCAACTTTGGTCTGTTCATCCAACCTCCATACATCTGATGCCTACTGTCCAAGGTACATTCAAGAATGTGTGCCACATTCACTGAATCTCATTCAGTGTTCAAAGGGGCAAGTCAAGCAAAGCATCGTACTGTTATACTAATACAAAACTGTATTTAGGTATGGGCTAAATCCAAATATAAGTCATCCAATATAAAAAGATTCAAAGGAAATGCAATTATAAAAAAACAAAATATGCAGAAATATGGCAATACATAGTATATTATTCTACAATTTGTTATTGTAACCTACCTGAAAAAGCAATGTCATTGTATATTTTACTACAAAGTGAATGTTTACACTAGCCATTTAACAAAAATGCAACTTCATTCTGTCACCAGATCTCAAATCACTATTATGCATTTGCTTTTATTATAGCAACTACAATTTGTCAAATGCTTTAAACACAAAGTACCTTCCCATGTATCACCCACCCCTTTCAGTTATGCTCCCCAGATGTCCCTGTGGAGTAAATCTGGCATGTGATAATCCCACCTAGCAGAGAAGGAAAGACTCACAAAGGAAGTAACTTGAAACAAACCAAACTGAACCACGATGTACTGGATCATGAAGGCTCTGCCTCATCCACTGTATCATGCTGCCTCCCCAAGGTGAACTTATCTAACCTGCACACTAGCCAGGTTTTCGAGCTCGCTACTGAAAAAAAAAAAAAGAAAGAGAGAGAAAATGTGCTGAAAAACTGTATTTTTCTAGGCTTGAATCTCCTATAGAAAAAAAGTACCCTAATAACAACCTCCCTGAGCCCATTGGAACACACATACAGAAATGACTCTGGCTTTTTATTACCGAGTACCTTCTGGCGGTGGCTATTACCCCAGGAGAAGCCAATTTGCTGTGTTCTATTCTTCCGCCTATACTGAACCCCAAACTCTTAGCTAACAGAAGTTACGGTCATTACAGGAATTTGAAAATACAGTAAGCGATAACTCACCATTATTTAAATAATTCAGTAGCCACAGTCTATTATATAGGAAAGGCAGTGTTACAGCATTTCACTAGCTGAGTTAGAAAAAATAGGCCTACTATCCAAACCGCTATAACTTGCCTTATCAGAATGTCCATCAAGAAACAAAGAAAACCTGAAATGGGTCCATACATGTAAATGCTTCAACTTTTTTTCAGCACATTGTTAACACATTATCCATTTGGTGCCTGGCAGAGTGAAGGGAGGAGAGTCCTCCTCATCAACAGTTCCTAGGTCAGCAGGGAGGATTAAGGCTCGGCGACCAAAACACAACACAACCTGGAAAGTGACGTGTCGAGGGGAATTACAAATAAAGTACCACTGGCGGTGTTTGCGACCAAGAGGAAAAAAGCACGCTGAAATTTAATTATAAGTTTAAGCAACTTTCTAGCACATGGACGTGAGTTTGCTTTGAGCTCCACGGAATCGTTTCCAAGCCAAAGCAAACCATCCTCGCGGTGAGGGGCCAAGATAACGGGAAGGCGGACGGTCGCACCAATCAGCAGCGCCCAAGTCTCGTTAGCTCAGACCTGCCTGTTTGCGTCCAGGCCGGGCAGCTGTTGATCTCAGGGACATTTTTTAAAAGCCCAGAAAGAGAGCGGGTGGGAAGCGTGCGAGGGCTGAGCCCGGGGAGAGGTAGGGGAGCAGGAGGTAAGATCGTCCCAGGAAAAAAGTCAGGCTGCAAACTGGCGGGGACCGGCCGGCGGGGCTCGGCGCGGCGGAAGCGGGAGAAGAGGGGAAGGAAGCCAGGGAAGGGGAGGAGAGGGGGCCTGCGCCTCAAAGTTCCGCGTCCCGGCGGCGCCCGCGCGCTCGGGGCTGCTCACCTAACAGGAGCGTGGTCCAGGTCCGGCCGCGCCCCGCGCGCCGCAGGCCCAGCGCCCCGCGCAGCCCGGCCGCCAGGCGCCCCCCAAGGCCGCCCCAGGCGAGCGGCGCGGCGGGCTCGGCGCGGGGCCCCTTCCTGCCCGCGGCGCCCTTGCGCCCTGGGGACGGCGGCGCGCGCTCGGGCCCCGGCTCCCCGGCGCCGATGTCCGGCGCTCCCCTCAGCGGCGACTGCGAGGCGCGGGGCGGCTGGGGAGCCTTGGGAGCCGCCTCCCGGTGCTTGTTCCGCGCCTGCAGGACCATCTTGGCATAGTCGCTCCCGCTCGCTGCGCGCGCCCGGACGGCGGCCGAAGAACAGCGGGCTGGCGGGGCGGCCGGGCGCCGCTCACTCTTCTGCGGGCGGGCGGAGGGCGGGCCTGTCCCTCCCCGCGGGCCGGGAGGCGGGGAGAGCAGGAAGGCCGGGCGGCGGCTGCCTGCCTGGCGGTACGGCCGGGAGGCGGCGCCGGACTCGCGCGCCCGCCGCCGTTGCCGCCGCTCCGGTTGTCACGGCGACCGCAGAACGCCGGGGGGCGGGGGCGGGGACACCCTGTGAGCGGCCGCGGCCCCGCCCCCGCCGCCCCTCCGCGCCGGACGCGCGCTCTGGGACGGCCAACGCGCACGCGCACACTTCCGGCGCGGGCGGGGCCCGACCTCGAGGCCGCCAGGCGACCCCGTCTCTGCTCAGGGCCCGCGCGGGGCTCCGCTGAAGTGAGGCCGCAGACAGCCTTCCGGAAGCGGCCGCACCTCCTTTGTGGGAGTGGCGGGGCAGGAGGAAGCGCCTTCTGGAGGTGGAGGGCGTCGGTGGAAGTTTCGGAGTCTATTAAGGCTGCGCGTGGAGCCCGCGCGGCCCGGGGGGCGGGGGCGCGGCGGCCGGACCCCCGGAAGGCGCCCCGGGACGGCCACGGAGGGGCGCTGTGCGCGCGCCCTGGGCTCTTCGTTCGCCCGGCGCTGTGTCTCGGTTTACTGCACAGTGTGTGGCCGCGCTACTTAGAACGCCGCCGGCGCTGCCCCTAGTTCTTGGATGCGAAGACCCGGCACGACCCACTTTAAAATAACAAAGTATGTCGCGGGGCGCTGATAAAGGTCGAGGCACAAATGTAAACTGACAACCGGGATCGGGGACCAGGCTGAAGATGATAAATGGAACGGCCCGAGCAGGAAAGATTATCAACAAGTATGTTCAGTTTGTTGCACCTGCTATAACCGTGTTGCTTAATAGAAAGCAAAACTTTATGTGGTAATAAGACCGGAGACTTTCGTTGAAAACGTATTTTCTTTCGCATAGCAGAATGCGTGAGTAAATGAAACCAGGAATATTCCAAAAAAACGGGATGGATCCCAGTTATCCCTTCTCCTCAACTCCTCATTCTTTGCACAAAGTCTTACTGCCTCATGAATTACAACCAAGAGGTCCTTTTCCTGGCTGTACCCGACGGGCTTCATCCAAAAAGTTGTCTTTAAGTCCCAGTTTTGTAAATCAAGACACATCTTTCTACTAATCTCCGTCGTAATTCCAGGGACCTCACGTGGCTGTGGGTTCTTACTCTTTATGTTTCTTTGCCCAGTGATTGCTTTATTAATACCTCCATTCACTGTTATGCTTTTTAAAGGGACAGTGGATGCTTTTTAGAGGGAAAAGTGTTTGCCATGCTAATTAATAATCCCTCATACTCTATATTTTGTGAATTTAGATTTTCAAATGTCTTTATTGGAGCTGGGAACGACTATTTTTGTACACTGGTTTTTAGAAAATGGTTGCAAGTGGGATGCAGAAGGCTTGGAGTCTGAAACAATGTCACATGAATCCGGTGTTACTTCTGGGATTAATGTTGACTTTATCAGGTTAAACGAAACCTACTTCAGTATCTACTGAAGATAATACGAAGAATTTGTTGATGGATTTTTTTTAAAAATGATTAGAAAGACTCGTGGTAAAAGAGGTTCAACATTTGAACCATTGGATCGCTTGTGTGTCTGCTCCTGTATGTGACAGGCCCTGGATTCAGGAACTTCCTCCCTTCAACTGATACCATTTTACCAAACACTTCTTAAATGAATAAATGAGTGGATGAATGCAGGAAATAACATAATCAAATGATCAGTCATAACACTGCCTCCTGTAGTGCACTTGAAAGTCATTTAATTCTAGTCCTCTTCTTCCTTGGTCTTGAATTTCTGGAGGACAAGAAATCTTTCTTATCCATCTTCAATTGTCCCTTGGAGCTGCAGTCTCCAACCCCCAGACCCTGGCAAGTTCAGCTCAGTGGTCTGTTAGGAAACGGGCCTCACATCAGACATCCATGCCACCACCACCTCACCACCAGTCCATGGAAAAATTGTCTTCCATGAACTGGTCCCTGGTGCCAAAAAGGTTGAGGACCACTGCTAGAGCCTGGCTATGAAAGTTTGTTGAACTGAATTGAAAGGGGAACACATATGTGTAAGACACACCCACTGGGTTTTTATCAGTTCCACAAGTGCTTATCAGTGCTTACCCTTCTTGGCTTGGCAACTAGGTAGAGAATCCCAGAGAGGGGCACTGTGCAGTATTAGTTTTTAAGAAACATGATCAATTTCAGTCCAGGTTCCAGTCACTGCATTCACCCATACCAACCCTTACATACAATGTATGTAAAGTATCTAACAATTACATCTATCAAAGTAATTGCTGAAAGAATATGTAAGGTAATTGTCTGGATCTAAGTAATCGCTCAATAAGTATTCAAAGTAGTGGGTGATGTATAAGGAGGATGACAAGCTCTTTGTCCTCCCGGAGCCTGAGGCTGACCACCCATAATGGGGTGAAGCAAGGGGAGAATGTAGCCTAATGGAGCGCCGGAGAGCAAGGGCAGCCATGTGATCTTTGGACTGGTCCTCCATTCCCTAGGCTTCAAGCTTCTCCGCTAGCTGAGCAGTTGACGCCCCCTGAATGGTTCCCAGCTTTCCTCATATGCTTTACAAATGATGCCCATTTCGTGAGTCCTTAAACCTGGATAAAATAGTAGGCAATTCCTCATGCTCCTTTCCCTAAAAGAAAGACACTTTACACAGGGAGAGTGAAGGAATAGAAACTAGAGCAGTCATGGAAAATTATATGCCAGATTTCATTTTATCCCTAGCACTATGAGACCCACAAAAGCAGGGAATGTACTTAATTTATATCTGTATCCTCAGGCCAGTGCCTGCCACATAGTGGTGAATGCTAAATAAATAAACAAACAAACTGAAAGCTGCAAGCTGCATATTAAAAAACTGTGTTGTACATGGATGATCCTATGAATCAATTTAAGGTTATAATGAACTTAAATTGAGCATTACAATTACCATCTTTAATGTGCTTCCCGCCCTGGGAGTTCCAGATGCACCAGAAAGGTACTTCCTCTTGTGACACTATGGAAATACCAGGCCTAGGCAGCTTCTAAGAGCAGGAACCTGAAAGAACAACCAGGCATGAAGAATCACTGGTCTCATACCCTGGGTGCAAACCTGATCCTTTTATCACTGCAAAGTACACTTTGGGCATTGAAATAAAAACGTTTAATTAAAAACAGAATATATCTTTTAAACTTTGGGCATGGAGATAGAGGAGATTATAAGGAGGAAATGAGCATAAAAAGGAAGAACATAAAATAATAGAGGAAAACAATGAAATGTAGAAAAATAAAGCTTAGTGATATTAAGGTATAAGGGTCAGGGAATCATTAGCTGGGCAATGAAAAAAGTAAATTTGGTTAAGGGAAGACTGTGCTGGGAACCGGTTTTCTTATTTCTCCACATTGGCATTTTAAAGGCCCCATTTAGAACTTCTAAATGTTCCTCTTTTCCTCCCACTTGCTCTCCTACCCGTAGAGTGACAGATACATGAAAAAGCTGTGGCATTTATTTCTCATTTCCTTGAACTAGGTCACTTGATCGCTGTGTTCGAGAAATGTCCTAGGGTCAAGTTCTAGATCTTGACAGTTGTCTCGCTAAGCAGTTGCTCATACCAAAACAGGAATCTGCGTAATCCCAGCACACTTCATAGAAACCTAAAATGGGTGCAACAAAGTATGTCTGTGTAACATTCAACTTTCAGCAAAGCTCCAACATTAGCTTGTCACTGTGTTATAATGTATTCCTTTAGTCTGGTGAGAACAAATGTAAATTGCTACTTTAATGCTCTTCAAATGTTATCTTCTGTCTTTCTTAGAGCTGACCTTGTAATTTAAACCGTTCATGCTCCAGTGAGTGTTTCTGAGAACTCAGAGAGTTCGTTATTATAGTCCTAGTTACAGTGTATCATGAAGAACCACTCTGTTGCAGGGGGGCCATGCCTCTTTAAAATGCAATTCCTGTTATTGAGAGCTTACTCTGTCCTTAGTGCACTTAATAGATATTAGAGACATTACAAATCTATATACTAAGTCTCCATCCCCAAATGGCTTAAAGTTTAGTTGAAGATGCAGGCTAAGCTAGAACAAAATATAGTTAAGTAGCAAAATGTGTGCTTCAGAGCATACATGCTAAAAGAATTCCAAAAAGAAAAGATGATGGCTGACATGATTTAGTTTTCAGGGAGGAGGTGAAATTTGGTCTAGGCCAGGTTGGAAGGATGGATTTTGTTTGAATAGAATGGAACATGGAAAAAGTTATAGACAGGGAAGAGCACGTTTCTAAAACCCTTGATTTGGGGCTGACACAGTAGGTGCTAAAATGAACATCTTAAGTCCTTTTCAGAGGAAGAAGAGAAGAAACACTAATGTAAGTTTGAGGAATAAATGAATGCATTAAAGAGTGAATAAATGAGATAACTAATGAGTGGAGTATGAAATGCCAAGAGTGCCATGACCTGGAGGCTGGCTTTCAGAGCTCCCCAAATCTATCTAGACCAGAGCAGACTTCCCCAAGGGTGCCAAGCTACTCCCACACTGAAGGTGGCCAGGTAGCCTTAAGAATACTGGCAGGCAAGAATTCTACCTCTAGCTTCTTCTTTGGGCCAGCATTTGCATGCATGCAGCCTGCCTCTGCCCACTCCTTGCCAGAAGCCTGAACCTTCCTCACTTCTACCTTGAAACACAGAGGAGGATGTGGAACTGATTCGCTCAGACACATATGGTCATCTCCTATCCCTATTATCCAGGGTATGCACCTGGACGTGTCACACGCTTTGTCCTGTCACTCCTAAGCTGTTCTCTCTACCCAGCCTGGCCTTGTGCTCCCTGAGGGCAGCAATCTGTTCCTGAGACATTCAGCTCTTCTCCAGAGCCGCTGCCACTTGACTCTTCCCAGAGGACCCTTCTCCTTTGACAGGCTCATTTTCCCACAACTGC